TGTCATAATATTACACTGCGGAACAAAAGACATTCTTTTAGGCTCCAAAAATGGAATGAATTTACCCCAATTGGGATAAATACTAAATCGATCTAGCTGCAATTAATATTTTCGATTTTCATTATACAACAGGTCTTCCTATGACATATTTTCGTTGCATGTATCGATATACCTCCCATATTACATTTCAAAAGGACAATGAAAACATATGAAAAACGATTGTGTGAATTAATATTAAATAGCGATTTTGGAAATTCGTAACATATGTGTACGAACATTTATTAATGTATATTAACGATACCAAATGTAGTAGATCTACGACGATGTTGATTTAAAAAATTTGGAGATTGGGCTTTAATTTGGCATTCCGAGTTCTTGTATAAAGAAAATACATACTGTATACAAAATTCATATTCGTATACCCACTAGAAATGAAGAATTTACGAATTATTCAATACAAATTCAAAATTTATATTATCGATGACAAAAACCGTATTCGTAAAGAAGACTCATATTATGATAAGACCTCCAACATAGCGAAAAATACGTGAGCTAATATAATATGACATAAAAATACCTAATAGTGGGCCTACCTTATATGGGTTATAATAAAATTGAGATCAATTTTATTATAGCCATACCAAATTACAGCCAATTCGGTTGGAAAAGGTGTCCAAAATCCTTAAAATGCAGAACATTGGGGGTAATGTTATATGGGGGATACACCAAAATGTGGACCGATATATCCCATTTGCAATATCAAACACGAGTACTAGCAATGTTTGTGCAAAATTTCAGAGCTCTATCTTAAATATTCCGATATCTATCGTTATTTCAACAGAAAGACAGACTGACGGTAATTCGTAAATCGACAAGGATTTTATTCTGATCAAGAATATGTATACTTTGTGGGGTTTCCGGTGAATATTTCGAGGTGTTGTAAATGGAATGACAAATTTAGTATACACTTCTGGTGCAGGGTATAATAAAGATATTACGCATTCTAATAAATTTATTATTTGGTTGAATATCCCTTTTGTCTTATGACCGCAATTAGATACCTAGGCATTGATTCGATTAATTTGGGGGTTATTTTTTAGATTTGGAACAAGTAAAAGTCAATGGGAGCTAAATCAGGAGAATAAGGTGGGTGGTCAAGCAACTCGTACTTTCATTCGTTGATTTTAGCCATTGTTAAAATACTCTTGTGAGCTGGTACGTTGTCTTGATGAAATTTTATTTTTTTTGTGTTTTTTCTCGAATTTGATTTAATTGATCCAAAAGGTTGCAATAGTACTCTTAATTTATTGTTTTACCCTTTTGCAGATAGTCAATCAATGAAATACCTTTGAAGTCCCAAAAAAACCGTTGCCTTAAACTTAACAGCATATTGAATTATTTTCGTCTTCTTTGGGGTACTTCCTCCAGCTTCAGTCCATTGTTTGGACTGTTCTTTTGTCTCTGGAGTATAGTGGTGGATCCATGTCTCATCAACAGTTATGAAACGACGCTTAAGCCCATTTTATTTCGCTTAAAGCTATCCAAACAAGCTTGTGAAATATTCATTCTTATGCGTTTTTGATCGACTGTTAACAAATGCGGCACCCATCTTGCTGAATGCTTTTTCATCTGTAGTTCTTTATGCTAATTTAAATGGACTCGATCATTTGAGATGCCCATGGTATTAGCATTTTCACGCACCTTTATTCGTCGATCATTTACAATTGTTACAATTTCTGTTGTTGTTGCTGCTTTTTGACGTCCACTACGTGGTGCATCTGCAACCCAATTTTTTACTGTTGCATATGAAGGAGCACTTTCATCTAACACATTCACCAAATCATTATGAATTTCTTGTCCCTATAAACTTTTTTTATGTACATATTTAATGACAGCACACATTTCTAATTTTTTCATCGCAAAAAAATTGCAGATGCGTCTTTTTTGAACACCTGTTTCTATATTAAGGTGTGGCCAGATCAAAACAAAATTTAACACTTGTTTATAACATAAATGGAAGTTTCCAAAACACGAAACTTTTTTTCTCTTTATACCGCGCTTTTTGTGACAGGCTAAGAGGTTTCCGAACTGCTCTCGTAATTCAATATACAAACTATTTAAAAAAAGGTTTTTTATCTTTTAAGCTTCAAAATTTTGCAAAAATATTACAACAATCTAACATATTTTGTGTTGCAAATGGGATATATGGGTCCACGTTTCATGTTTCACATTAAAAATCGTAGCTGCTATTCCAACCCAAAAGGGCTTTCATTTGGCATCCCGAGTTCTTGGAAATTAAAATGACTCCAGAAAATATGCAACATACAGTGGCGTGCAGAGTCGAGTGAATGTTTGTACATTGAACACCTTTTACGTCATTAAAATAAAAGTAAACCAGTGAGCGGAGAGGTATAGTCGGACTGGGCCGACCATATGATACCCCACACAAATGCCACCGATCTCTAAGTTTCAGCGGAATATATTCGGACCGATTTGGTGTCAATAACTCCTTCAATGCGATTTTTTCGAATCATGTTTCCCGCAGTAAATATTGACTCCATGAAATTTATTTTTTTTAACGCAAAAAAACTTTTGACCTTCATCATTCAAGACAGCTATTCGAATTAGTCAGATCACCGTCCCATCTAGGGCGACTAGAAACCCAGGCACAAATTATTTTCGTGACGATTGGTCCATAACTGAGGTCTGTATCGTGTTTACAAACGCACACACATGTCTAAATCGACTCAGCTAGTCGAGATATGACGATCGATATGATATTTCGGGGTGTTGCAAACTATTGCGGCCACACAAGGGTATAAAAAGAAAATTTAATTTTTCTTGTTGTATTTTGTTAAGTATTTATAAAATTAAAATTTTTTAATTAATTTAAATTAAAAAATTAAATCTTCAATTTCAAAAAAATAAAGAGAACAAAATCAACACTCTTTTGAAAAAAATTTGCAGATTTTATTTGTAAATATGTTTGTAACAGGCAAAAGGAATCGAGATAGACCCATGACTCCTTTTGAGAATATGCATAGAATCACTTTCTGAGTCGATTTACGCATGTCCGTCTGTCCATCCATGTATTTTTGTGAACAAAGTACAGGTCGCATTTATGATCCGATTTGAATGAAATTTGGCACATATCACTTTTTTGGCTCAAAGACGAATCCTATTGAAATTGGAGAAAATCGGTTCAGATTTAGATACAGCTCCCATATATAGTTTCGTCCGATTTTAGGTAAATGGTGCACCATTTACTGTCAATATTAGTCCGATTGTGACAAAAGTTTGCACAGAGGACTGAATTAGGCACAGATTGTTGTGTGCCAATTTTTGATGAAATCGGTTCAGATTTAGGTATAGGTCCCATATATAGTTTCGTCCGATTTTAGGTAAATGGGGCACCAAACTCCCAATATTTATCCGCTTGAGACAAAATTTTGCACAGAGTACTGAATTAGGTCTAGATTGATACATGCCAAGTTTTTTGAAATCGGTTCAGATTTAGATATAGCTCCCATATATAGTTTGGTCCGATTTTAGGTAAATGGTGCACCAAACTCCCAATATTTGTCCGATTTTGCACAGAGTACTGAATTAGGTATAGATTGATACATGCCAAGTTTTTTTTGAAATCGATTCAGATTTAGATATAGCTCCCATATACGCATGTCCGTCCGTCCGTCTGTCCGTCCATGTTTTTTTTTGAACAAAGTACAGGTCGCATTTATGATCCGATTTGAATGAAATTTGGCACATGTCACTTTTTTGGCTCAAAGACGAATCCTATTGAGAATCGGTACAGATTTAGATATAGCTCCCATATATATATTTTTAAAAAGTATCCAAATTACAAATATTCACTCGCTCCGGCTCGCCACAGTTGGTCAATGATTTTACACATCCCTCATATGCCCCTTCTGCGTATTTTGATATTCCAAAGCTCATTTTCAAACAGAAGTGGTTATAATTTGGCATCCCCGTGATGTGGGCAGAAAAGGTATAATTTTAGATAATGTTTTTACATACCATCCAGATAAAGGTTTCATTGAAAAACTTAGATCATTATGCTTGACTCGAAAGAGTATAAATAACTCACTTAAAAAAGGTATCGTATTTAGTATTTAAAATTGGAGTAGCATTCCGACAGAAAATGTTCAAGGTAGGTTAATGTCTTAATACCAAGTTTAGTAATTGTTAATTTCCTCCTCATGGTAAAAGTGCAAAAATTCGGCCTGCCCAAAGTTAAGTTTTCTATTCCATAAGTTGTGCCCTGAACTGCGAAGCAGAATTATTTTACTGTAGTTCACATATTTTGAAGGATATTGATTATATATTTAATATTTCGACATAGAACAAATGTTTGTTATAGGCCGTTATTCTATCTAAGTTATTACAAATTGATAGTATCACTATATGTCAATGTTTCAACACAGTCCCTATGTATAGTTTCTATCCGTTATAAGGTCAAATACATTCTTTTACTAGGGGATTGTAATTTTGTATTTAGACTATTCCGAGGTTTCGCAGAAATATATGGACCATTTTTAGATGACTCCAATGTAATGGTCCCACCAAAGCGTTTTTTTCAACCTGGTCAATGCTTGCTCGAAGGATAACAATTTAAAACATTTATTTTTTAATTCATATCAACATATTTAATTTTATGCAACAATTTAAAAACTTTCCATCAAACTTCACACAATTAAAACAAATAGGGAATTAAAGGATCCCCTAAATTGACCCACAAATTTACCAACTACAATAGTAAATTTCAACAAAATTATTTTGTAAATATAAATACATTTTTCATATTTGTTCGAAAACCACAAAACAAAAGGTCAAATTAGTAATAATTGATGTCGTTCTAAACAGACTCGTTGTTGTTGTTGTTGCTATTTACATTAACATCAATCAACCGTAACCACTCTGTAAACATGCGAACATCCGGAGCTATGTAACTATGACAACCGCCTCCTTTCCCCACCTACCTTTGCAGCATTTCAATGTGTAGGCTTAGCGCATCAATGTAATTTTGCATTTCCGCTGTAAGTTGTAGTTCCGTTTTGAATAAATCCTCCATCCCCGCGATGGAGGTATAATAGTCTTTCGCGTGGCCATAATGCCACAGCAGTGTGGCACTAATTAAAAATGGAATAAATAATTTATTTAAATTTCCTAGCATCACAATTTTCACTTTGTGGCGATTTTTTTGTTTCTCTGGTGTAATAAATCACAATTATAATTTGATTCTTTGGAAAAAAATCTTCCCGCTATTTTCCTTATTTTCTTTCGGATTGTGGCGATCCAATCTCGTCGACGTTCGAAAGTCAACTAATTTTGTTGTTAAGTTTTAATAATTTTAAATTTCAACTTGTTTAATAAAAAAACAATTAATGAATTCTTCATACATCTGCAGCTCTTCACTTGAATTGTGAGTATTTTGAGTCGATCCAGCTTGATTCGATTTGATTTGCAAAGTCATTTCCATTTGACCACTTCTTCTAAGACGGTTGATAGTCTATTTGAATTTCACCAAAGCATGAGCGTTGTGTGTGTATGTTTTTATTTGCCGGGTAAGCGTTTATTTTCTCAAGCTGGATGGTAGTTGTTGTTGTGCTATGTACGCACACCGCAATGAAACTAGTTTTTTGTTGTTTTTTTATTTTATATTTTTTTAAGTTTCCTGAGGTATTGTTCTTTATACAATAGTGCTCACATTATCAGAAAGATATGCTTTAAATACTTCAAATCAAAATCTCTATAAATTTTGACAACTTTATGGTTTGAAGACTGAGTCATGGCTGATTTTTCATCCGAACCCGCATCAGAATGTGAACAACTTTTGTTTTAGCATATATATTTTTAAAACACATGTCTTAACATTTTTATACCCTACACAACTATGTTGTCAGGGTATTATAGCTTTGTGCAGCCCCAAGAGTTTGTAACGCAGCGAAATATTGGTCCTAGACCCACCTTTAAGTATACCGATCGTCATATCTCGACTTGCTGAGTCGATCTAGACATGTGTGTCCATCCGTCCGTCCGTCTGTCCATTATATTTTGTAAACACGATACAGGCCACAGTTATGGACCAATCTTCACGAAATTTTGCATGTAGGATGGGTTCCGCCCAATGAAGACCCCTATTGTTTTTGATAAAGATTTGTTAATATCTAGGGGATGAAATGGACCAAAAACTTAATTTTTGTCGGTTTTTCTGGTCGCTCCAGAGGCCGCAATTATGTCCCAAACATCGCGAATTTTTACATAGAGAAGGGGATCGGGCCAAAGAATAAGCATGCCTGTTTTCATAAGGATCGGTCAATATTTAGCGGGTCAAATGGACCCCGACTTTTGTGTGAAAAATTACAAAATTTGTATTCTATAGCGTATAGATTCACACCTGAAGGACATAGACCCGAAAAGTGTTTAGTATATCCAAGGGCAGTGGTTGGCCTTTAAATTGATACCAATTATATGGTCGTATGTACTCAGATGTGGGAGTTACACTTAAACATTTACAGATGCTTATGTATTCAGATATTATTTAGTAACCCTTTACCACACTAGAGGGCTGAAATATAGCGCTGATCGCTTTAAAATGTTCCATGAAGTTCCAGTTATGGTCAAGGATAACGCCTATAATTTTCGGTGACGATCAGGTTATATTGTGATGAAGTGGACCGAAAACTTTTTTTTGTTGTTTTTTCGAGTCGATCTATAGGCTCCAATGGGAATAAGAAGATCACAACACAAGGGATGGGAATCTGGACAAGTAATTAGAAGGGCTGTACTGAACATTAGTAATAATTGTCGGCCTCTAGTTGGTCCAGATGGTTCAAATATCGTGAAATATTGCCCAAGCCCAGAATATAAATCCACAGAAAGTTAGTTTTTCGTGGATGTTGTGTAGGGTATCATATGGTCGGCCCCGTCCGACTATACTGCTCCGCTCACTAGTTTATATCTTCACCCTTGCTACTGTAGTAGTATAATATATTAAATTTATAGATGTTGTAAATTTAATTTATGGCCTTTCAATATGATAATGTTTCAATTGGACAATGAACTTTCATTAATAATTGTATCACTTTCAAATGTCATCGATTATTTGATAACTGGCACACAAAAAAAAAAAAATACATTCACTTTCTCTCAAAAATGCAGCCGGGTAATATTGCAATCCATGTGTGAATACATATACAATTTTGGTTCGATTAACAGATGATTATTATGTTTTACGTTATAAAAAGATTGGAAATGAATTGCATTTTATAATTGGTATTATTATAATCATAACACTTGCAATAATAGCCAGAACCTTTCGTAGTCCTTGATATCTAATTGAAATTGAATAAATCAATGTTTCGAATTTTATTCGTGATCAAATTGATCTATATAGTATGATAGGATTGTTTTTAATATCAATCAGTGTTAAGAAAAACAAATAATCATATGCAATATTTAGCCACACGTAACTTCAATATTTGCCTGCTTGCCATTTAAAGATAATTTATGATTTCAACATGATTGAATTTTATAACTTAATACATATGCATATATTTATATATGTATGTTTGTATTTTTATTATGAATTTTGTTTAAGCTACTTAATTATGTTAATTAGTACGAGTTTTTAGCACATGCATATAAAATGACAATATGTCTGACATCCATGACAAGTATTGTGAGAAGTGGTATTTTTTTATTGTTTAGAATAAAGTTGGGTAGTAGTTTTTGTTGCTAATAATGCGGCCCTACGTCAACATATGACATTTATTGTGCTGATCAACATGTATCCGGGAATTGATAATATTTTTGTACACTGGAGCGCCTACTTGCGTCGAAACGAATCAATAACGAATGCATTTTTTAATCAATCAATGCTAAATCGGGTACTAAAAGTGCTAAATATTGTAATACAATGCAGCTCGAGTCGATTTAAATTGAAATTGCAACGCCGTTAACTGAATTTACCAGTTTTCGAAGCGGAAAAACTAAACCTATCAGAATCGAGAAGACAAAAAATTTTGGAGCAGCTGGGTAGGATAAAAATTCCAAAGCTGAAATCTGCCTCCCGCAAATAATTTTTTAGAGTGTTGAGGTAATGAGATATACTTTCAGACGAAAGTGACAGTTCCACAGGCATAGGTTTAAAGTGGAAAAGGACGATGACAACATATGAATATCGATTTCTTTTTGTAGAATATTTGAATGTCTAAAAATCTCGTCTTATGGTATTTAGTTTACGGCTTAATAAAATAAGGACGCAAGAGAGGCACAATACACGAGAAAGCCATAACTAAAAAAATTAACCTTTTACAAATTTGTCCTTCTGGGTTATTAATATACTCGCCGAGGGCTTTTATCCTCATAATAAACTGTCAACCCCAGTTTTTCGGTCTTTTGTCCCAATTCACATCCGAATAGATTGTAGTTTGGTATATTGGGGTACTCATTGTGTAGCAAATTTTCCTACCAAAAATTATTAATATTTGACCACTTTTGAGGTTTGCCTGTATAAAACGTTATCCTCCAAATCTTCGGATTTGATCTAGGCTTGGTAAAGAGAATACCTGATATTTATAAATATTGGACATTTTTACCTTTTGTGTGGGAGGTACCAGAAGGTGTGGACCAATGGGTCCCATAGCAAATTTTCCTACCAAAAATTATATATATTGACCACTTTTTAGGTTTGTCTATATATATCGTTTAATTAATTCTTTGCACAATTTTCACCATTTCGTGGGGGAGGTAACAGAAGGAGTGGTCCGATATTCCAAATCTTCGAACTTGAATCGTGTTTGGAAAAAAATATTACGATATGCGGAGTTTGGATGAAATCGGCTACTCCCTTTGAGAGTTATCGTGTTCATCAGCCGGCCAGAAAGACGGACTGATGGAAATTTGTAAATCGACTCCAAATTCTCTGTATCGGATTTGGTCCAAAGAAATATGGCGTCTAAACCCAATATTTTGATGAGTCGATTATTGAACTACTTTTTTTAATATTTATGGTTTCATGGTTTCCTGGAGTGAATATTTATCCCATATTATTCAAATGTTTTACACACAAAATAAATGGTTCATTCGCCCCGAACCCATTCCCTGTGTATCATATATGATTTCGTTCTCTAAAGCAACTAGAAACTAGTCGGCCGTTAAATATTATCTGATCATAAAATTATAGACCGGAACTTAATGTAAAATTTCAAAGCTATAATATTTCTATTCTCTATTATTGGTAATACTATACCAGTGAGGAGAGTAGTATAGTCACACAAGGTCGACCATATAAGACCCTACACAACTACAATGAGCTCTAAATTTTTGCGGATCTACATTCCGAGCGTTGGTAATATTTCGATATGTTCACTCTCTTGATCCTGGAGCAACCAGAAAAACAGACAAACATAAAGTTGTTGGTCCATTTTATCACCCAAATATTGACCCACCATTACCAAAAACAATTGTAGTCTTCTTTGGCAAGAACCCGTCCTACATGCAAAATTTCGTGGCGATTGGTCCATGACGTAACGAGATATGACTGATGGTGGATTTAGGACCAATATTTCGAGGTGTTACGAACTGTTGGGCTACACAACGCTATAATACCCTTACAAAATAGTTGTGTATGGTATACGAATTTAAAATGTAATTGTAAATATTTCCGAATAACTCCCACATTCATCCGAATAACTCCCACATTCATTTTATCCCATAATTATTAATCGATCTTTACCAATAATAAACCTGATCTTATTTGGCCAGAACCGATCCTAAAAGCATAAAGGTGGCTTTAGGACCAGTATTTTGGGGCGGTATACACCGTTGGGGCCACACAAATATAACACAATAATCTTAAGCATAGTTATGAAGGGTATACAAACCGGCTAGAAAATAGTCGGCCCTTAAATAGTATCTGCTCATAACCGAATATAATATTACCATCTTCTCCGGTCTATGTCCGAGTGAATATATGCGCCATAGATAGCAAATTTTGTCATTCTCACACAAAAGTCTGTATCCATTTGGCCAGCTACATATTGACCGATCTTCACCAAAACAGTCATGCTTATTCTGTATCTAATTCCCATTCCTCATGTAAAATTTCGCATCGTTTTGGTTATAATTTTAGCCCCTACAACGACCTGACAGATATAAAGTTGCTGGTCCATTTCATCGCATAAATATTAATCGAAATTTACAAA